ATAGCTCATTCTTAAAAGACAAGAATTGACTTTCCCAGGTCCAATTTTCTGTGTCTAACATAAAGGGTACAAGAGGCATCTGCTCTGGGACAACGGGGACTAGGTCATTTTTGAGACCATTCCCAGTTATGGCATTCTTTGTTTGACTGCTGAGAGGGTAAATGAGAATGAGGACAGGCAGAATTGGGGTTCAAATGTTTCAGAGCCTCAGTGGTCACAAGGAAGCTCAGAGGGAGTAAATAGAAGCCCTGGCTTTGATCTCCTGTGTGCCTTCTCTGATGACTTCTCCTATCTGTTGATTTCCAGTCTCAAAGCCATGTGCTCCACTCTCCTCTTGGGCTTAAAGATACTCCTGGTGGTTGCTGTCTCTGTCATCTATGTCCACAGGAAGCAGAAGTTTTGAATGCAAATTTTTGGAGAAGCTCCAGATTCATAGAGAGCAGGTAAGTCCACGTGTGTCCACAGAGGTGAAAAGTCACCTCTGGTAGGAAGGGCCAATGAAGAAGATCTCATATACACAAATTATCTGGACCAACCTGGAGTTCAGAGAGGGGGCCCATTTCCTTTCAATTCCCTCTGGGATTTTGTGGAACCCTCTAAGATGTTTCCAGGTCCCAGGCTGCATTTGGGTCCACAGGAAGATGAGTTAGATAAAGGGCTTTCAAAGGGCATCTCACAATAAAGGCTGAATGGAGAAAATGCAGAAGTGGGCAGTCTGAGGGACAATGGAATGAGTCCTTTTCCTAGTGACCATATTCAGATTATATAGACACCAGGACTCAGTGGAGGAGGTGGGTGGAGAATGTACCCTGCAGTGTATGGTTGAGAGCCTTGGGTTGGTTGCTGTGAGGGTTGTCCTGGTGACACTCCATGTGAATTAGTGGTGAGGGCTGAAGAAGGAGTATTAAGACTTTGTGAAGAATGAGCAAGCTTTCAACAGTTCTTGCCAGGGAGCTTCCTACCCCCCTGAGAACTATCCTCCTAGGAAGATGGCATCCTTGGGGACACAGTAGTCATTCAGAAAACATTTCCTAATAATAAGCAGGTAATTAAATGTGGCTCTATTTCCCCATAGCTCCTTCCTTCCACCTTGGATGACCCAGACTGAAAGAAAGTGCCAGATGGAATCTCCACAGACTTGACTCTGTGTGCTTCCCTGTCCTGGACACTTGCTGCCCACACTCTTTACTTGTCTTTTGTGCTGTTGCGATTGGGTCTTGGGAATTGGCTCTGAGGATGACTCACTCCACTGTCCTAGAAATGAGGAAAAATTCAAGATGAGTGAACATCTAAAGGTGTCTCTTTGGATGCGGTGGAGCTTCGTCCTAAAGCATATACTCATATCTGTGCTCTGAAGAATTCTCATCTTGTGATTCCTGCACGTTCCTGACTACCCAGCCTGCCTTCTGAACATAAATGGATTCTCATCCTTAATCCAAAAAGGAAAAATACTCTCTTCTCCCTCTTTACCCAAATGCCCTACTCCTACAACCCAGAAGACTTCCCCTCCCCTTTGTGAAGGAAATGCTGGGTTTTGTATCACCCACCTCTTTACCTATCCTGTTGTTCATGGTGCAAAAGCTATGAAAATGCAAAAGCTTTTTATACCCTGCATTTAATACGAATATTAAAATACTTATTCAGAGTGTTAGACTTAGTTATTTACTTAAATATTTAACAATATTTATTTTTATTAATATTTAACAATTGCTTGTCTAAAAGGAAAAAAGTGTTTGCTTTGTAGCTGTTGCCAATTCTAGAGTGTAAATATTTCCTCTCTGGTCAGCTCCCATCTATCAAGAATTTAACAGCCAGATTGAAAAATTCCTGAAAATACAAAAATCTGCTTTTGTGAGCCAGTCTCTGCCGACTCCACCACCTCTGTACGTCCCTACATTACTTTTATGCACATCAATAATCAGAGAATTTAGACTACTTGAAGAAGAATGTGGCATCAGGAAAGGAAGAAGATTTATTAAAAACCTGTTTCAAAACAACTATGAGATATCATCTCACCCCAGAACAGCAAGCAACAAATGCTGGTGAGGTTGTGGAGAAACTGGAACCCTTATTCACTGTTGGTGGCAGTGTAAAATGGTGCAACCACTGGGGAATATAGAGATATCATTTGACCCAGCAATTCCACTACTGGGAATATACACCAAAGAAACCATAACTGACATCCAAGCAGATATATGCACACCCATGTTTACCTCGGCTTTGCTCACAATAGCAAGGAGTTGGAAACAACCCAAGTGCCCATCAACAAACGAATGGATAGACACAATGGAATACTATGCTGCACTGAAAAACAGGGAACTCATGCAATATTATTCAAAATGGGTGACCCTGGAGGACATTATGCTGAGTGAAGCCTCTCAGTCACAAAAGGACAAATACTGCATGGTGCCACTATGTTAAAACAGGACTGACATCAGGGTTGGAAGGAGACTGAGAAAGATGGGTTCAATAATGTATACTGCATTGAAACAGATGAAGGAAAAAACTGTTTAAAAGGGATATGTGATTAGGTATTTTTGTCATGACAGGAGTCCAGAGCGAAGGCTGCATAGTGGAGTGGATCTGGGGAAAGGGATTGTAAAACAATGAAAGATTTTTTCTTTTACTTTTCCAAGAGGGTAGTATACTAAGGGGGAGGGTTGGGAGGGGAGAAAACTGCAACAATGAATGAATGGAAATCCAAAGTCTCTGTAAATTGTTACTGAAATAAATAATAAATTTTAAAAAAAAGAAATAACCATTTGACCTAGCAATTCCATTGCTGGGGATATACCCTAAAGAAACCAGAGTCACAATTCAAACAGATGTATCCACACCCATGTTTATTGGTGCATTATTCACAATAGGAAAGGGCTAGAAGCAACACAAGCACTTATCAATAAATGAATGTATAGAAAAACGATGGTACATCCACATAATGGAATACTATGCAGCTTGGAAAACAATGAACCCATAAAACATTACACAACATGGGGGAGCTTTGAGGACATTATGCTAAATGCAATACCTCAGTCACAAAAGGATAAATAATTCATAACACTGCTCTGATACAATAGGACAGGTATGGAATAAAGATATGAGATAGCGAGGAAATGGGTAAAGAGTGGATAGATAATGAACACTGCATCAGACCATATGAGGATAGTGGAGATTGAAATCTGTGCGTCTCAGTCCTTTGAACTAAATTTTTCTGTGTATCTCTGATTCTCTTCTTTGTTCTGGACATGGAGAGATCAATAGTTTCTCCTTAATTGTCCTTGAAAGCTTTACAATCCCAGTGGCTGCTCACCAAAATAGGAAGCAGAACGTAGTTTTTGTGTCCTGAGTTACACTATTTGACCTTGATGTCCTCTGAGGGTGTCCGCTATCTCAAGACTAGTAATACACTCTCTGGAGGGAATTAGTTTTGATTAAGAAGTTTACATAACTTTTATACATTTTGTTCTCCAATATATGTGAATATATTTATAGCATATATAAATATGAAAATAGAATTAATATTTAACAAGCCTGGATGTGATCATGAATGTAGTCTCTCTAAACCACCTGAGCTCTGGTGGCCTAGTGGCAAGAAGCTGCGCTGCATCCTGAAGGCACATGGTTCGAATCCACCAGCTGCTCCACAGGAGGATGGACAATCTCCTTCAGTGAGATTAACTGCCTCTGAAAACCCACCGGAGGGTCAGCTATGGGTCGGTTCTGGCTTGATGGTACACAACAACAACAACATGTTCATCTTACTTGTCTGCCTATGTGTCCACTTGTACATTAATACTCGCTGATACTGCAAGATGTGTGTTCAATAATGTCTAATCTTCATTTCTGTTATCTCTTGCATCTTCCTTTTTCCTAGTATTACATTGATATCAATATGTTGTATTGTGCTAATCACAGCTTATCTTCTACTGCTTTTCTATTTACTCAATTTAATACATGTCAATAAGATAGTTTTATCATTTAGTGGTTTAGGGGTAAGGAGGGTGTTGCCAACACAGAGGGACAGGGATCAAACCCACCAGCTGCTCTGCAGTAGAAAGCTGGGCTCTCTCCTCCCACATGATTTACTGCCTCTGAAAACAGCTGGAGGTTTAGCACCACTCAGTCCTGATTTATCAGTACACAACGACAACATCCAGTTACTGATTCAGTAAGTAGAAAGTACATTCTCAGCAGACCTTTCTCCTGCTGTTCATTCTCCCCAAAACCTTTTGAGGGAATCAGACAGAAGAGACACCTCTCCTTATGTTTCTGGGTGTGCTATCTGCAAGATGACCACACCAAGACTCTTCCTAACTCCAACTCCCAAGGGCTTTCTCCTTCCTTTTAAGTAAGAACCTCAACTTCATGCAGGGCCTCACTCCCTGTTCAGCTTAAGCTATTTCCCTCACAAGAAGGAGAAAAGGGGGAAGTGCCTACACTGTGGTCAAAGCGTAGATGCAAATCTAGGGGACTTCACTGCACAATGACAGGGGCTCATCATAACACTGACACAGCTGAAGTATAGAAAATAAGACCCTGTCTCCTGAGACTGTCATGAAAATGCATACCTGGCCCTGTGAGCTTTCCTCCTGAACAGCTCATCTGAGCTCAAGTGTTGAGTTCCTACTGGTGGTCCAAATACATACATCACTTCTGCAAGTTTCTAGGACAGAGGTCTTCACCCAGATCACACTCCTGGAGATTCTGGATGAGAAAAAGCCAATAGTATCTCTGGTTTGTGTGTAGAAGCCAAGAGACAAAGCTTGGCCACTTAAGCAATTAGCCACGCCACCTCACAAAGTCTTTTACAGTCCTTGTTTCATTAACGTATTAAATTGTATCTGATGTCTATTTCACAATCTCAAAGCAGGAACTGCCAGACTCTTACAGTCCTCTCTTCTCATCACAGTCACTTCCCTGATAGAAAGGAAAGACTGCTTGTCTCTCTACAGAGCAAAGTCCAGGGTAACACCGGCTTAGAGTAAGCTCCAGGGATGACCATGAGGCGCACACCTGCCTCAGGGCCCCAGCTGCCTCTGCCTTCCTTGCTGCTAACTCTGCTTCTGGGACTCTCAGGTGAGTGTGTCTGTCCTCAGACATCACCCTGCAGGAAGGCTCACCTGAGTGTGCTTGACAGCGTTGGCCTCCCCTCTAGACAGTGGGACTGATGCATCTCTGATTTTTTTTCTTTTTCTTTCTCTCTCTCTCTCTCTCTCCCTTTTCCTTACTTTTCGTTCTAATATTGGTTTGCTTACTAAGTCCCTATACATTGTGTTTCACACTATTCTTCATTCCTATTGTGTTTCATACAATCACTCCCATGCATTATACTTTATAACAATAATCATTATTGGACCTTGCCCATCGTTACCCAGTCTTTTCAGGTCCCCACCAGATCCTCCCCATTTGCTTTACCCCCTCTCTCCACCCACCAAACTGGGAAACTCTGTGGTTTTGTCAGACCAATCCTTACCCCTCAGCTCCCACTCCTTCCCCCTTTGAGTCCTCATACATGTTTTACTAGTTATCCTTCTATTTTTACAACAATGGCCTTATGCAGTATTTGTCCTTATGAGACTGAGTAAGTTTACTCAGCGTTGTTCTCTCATGTCTTTCCCAAGTTATGTAGTATTTTTTAAATCATTGCTCCTAAGTGCTGCATAATATTCCATTGGAATGGAAATTAGAACTGAGACACAAACGGAGATCTGTACACCACCGTTCATTAGCAGTGTTCTTCATGATTGAAAGAACATGGAAACAGCCCAAATGTCCAACCACAACTGAATGGATTGAGAAATTGTGGTACACAATGGAATTTGTCTAAGTGATTTCCCAATCTTCAGACTTCTCTCTCTTGTTTCTTTGTTTTGATTTTGCACTGGGGCAGATGATTCTCTGTTCCATATCACTCCCTCTTCCTCTGAAATTAGTTCTCAGTCCTCAGGCCTCTTTCTCCTCTGCCTCTTTCTTTTTTAATACCCTGTCTATCAAATTCCCTTTTATTCCATGGACCTCTCAAAGATTCTCCTTAGAAGTCCTGCTGCTTGAAAGGTTCTTTTCTTCCCCCCTTGGGTGCAACAGAATAAATCCAATACAGTCCTCTGCCCTTCTTTACTTCCCCCAGTATCTCTGTTACCTCAGAAGAAAGGAGGTGTCTCAAGAAGAAAGATTTGGAGATGTGGTTCTGAAGGATTGGTCATTGAAAGCCATACAGAGCACATTGCAACTATGAGATTTGTTGTTGTTGTTGTTGTTGTTGTTGTTGTTGTTGCTGTTGTAATACCATCAAGAGTTGGAACTGACCCATAGCTGACCCTCCAGTGGGTAGTCAGAGGCAGTTAATCACACAGGCAGAGTTTGCCCTTCCTTTTCTTATGGAGTGGTTGGTGGCCTCGGACTGCATGCCTTTGGTGTTGCAACGCAACTTCTTGCCACTAGGCCACCAGATACTCTGAGATATATACTGGGTCACCATGAGTCAGGGGCAATGCCATGGCGACTGTTTTTCTTGCTGTTGGTGGTGGTGTTATTTCATCTGTCATAGTGCTCACTTCGGCAATGAATATACTAAAATTGGAACGATACAGAGAAGATTAACATAGCCCCTGCACAAGGATGTCATACCTGCCAAGCTGTTGATACCCTGTGACGGCTGATGACCCCCTGTGCATAACCTGAAAGACCTACATTCAATCCGAAGGAGGAAGTGAAGGTGCAACACATGACTCCTTGGTCCTGCTGAAGACCACCAGGCCTGGGAGGCAGAAATCAGAACCATTAGTAACTGGAATGTGGGATGTATGAAGTATGAATCTAGTCAACACTGAAAGCGGTAAAAAAAAATAAGCTGTGAAGGATATAGATTACTATCCCAGGCACTGCCCTAGTGAGCTGAAATTTATTTATATTTGCCATTTTTTAATTAGACATTCAGATGGCCTATGTGACCTCAATTGATTCTTTGAACAGGCATAGTACCACCGTCATCATGAAAAAGTTTCTTTCAATATCTGTCCTAAAGTTGGCAGTGACAGGATAATGTACAAGAAACACAGGTTTGGTTTTTTGATTGTTTGTTAGTGTTTGATGTTTTGGGTTCATTTTTACTGTATTAACCCTGAAAATATGAAAGTTGGAGGGAAAGAAGAAGGATGGGTAGTTGGAAAAGAAAGCCTTGATTACAGAAACATACTAAAGATCAGAGGACATAATTTTGCATGACCACTGTCTTAGTCATTGCAAATATGTTTTCCAGCAACATATACAGAAGATATATACAGGAACTCTACCTTATAGGATACACAGGAATTAAATGGACTCTATCAATTAGAAATGTGGAAAGAGACAATGGAGAAGCTTAATATCATCAGTCAAAATGAGACGAGGGGCCTTACTGTACAAAAGACCACCAACTATTCCTGTTCAATTCAAAGTAAAGTATTGTAATGAAATGTACTAATACTTGAATAAGAAAATAAAAAAAAGGGGGGACAGAAACCCACTCTATTTCTTAAGCTGAAAAATTTGAAGAACTATTAAAGCCTCAAGTTGTAATACTGAAGGATTCTTTAGGAAAAAGATTGAATGACAAAGAATTAAATGAAGATGGAATACACAGAGTCACTGTCACAAAAAGATTAGGTTTACATTCAATCATTTCAGGAGGAAGCAGGTTCTTTAGAACTGATACTACTTAAGGAATAAGTCCAACCTGCACTGCGGACATTGGCAAAAAAACAAAGCTTCAGGCATTAGCAGAATAGCAAATAAGATGTTTCTGAAGGACCCCCGAACCGCTGGTCCTGTTCTG